GAGTGTCGGAAACGTATTGTTATCAAGTCGCGTGACTATAGGGCGTGGCGAACTTGACACCATTGTATTGTACATGTGATTGAACCAGTAAGAGTCAACAATGACTGGAAATTCCTGTGTAACCAAAAAACTAAGATGAGCTGATATAAGAATGTACAATCGCGTAAATTGACGTGTTAGAGAGTTGTACTCAATGTGATCGGGTAGTGAGAAAATAAATAACTTTAAAACATATTGTGACTTTTGGAGAGAACTGGAGGAAAGGGGGACATTCTCCAAAACATCACATATCCTGGAAAGTTAACTCACAAACTGCTAACACATATGGTGAAGATCTGGTCTCTTTCATAAAGGATAAGGTGCTTGTAAGTTGGGTTACAATGCATTAAATCATTCTCTATGCTCACCCAGAAGGGACAGAATTGCAGCTAAATTACTCTTCACTTAATAATATGTGCTTTTCTATTTAAATCAGTGGCTGACATATGCCACATTCTTTCCTTTGATCTATTTAGAATAAAGCCCCTTGTACTAAATTGTAAGGAATATGATAATGATATGTTTGTTATATGTTACCACATTCTACATACTTTTTCAACTATGTGTAACAAACATTAAAATGAAATAAACACTAATTTATGCAGAAATGAATACTTAATTCAATACAGACTATTGCCTATTATTAGCAATTATTACTCCTACATGTGTTAGCAAGAACTTGGTCTTCTTGGCATTCATTGTGAGTGTTTGGTGATCCATATATCAGTGGAGAAACTCTCTACAACTATCTTTGTGTAGAAAATACCAATCCTTTCACCCTTACTTATTAATTTCATTCACACAGGCATGGATGAGAACCAGCAGCAAAGCAAAGCAAACAAAAGTGCCAATGAGGTGGTAAGCTCTATTGTAAACATTTTCTTGGCAAATTATTCACTAGTTATAAAAAGGTATACGTTGTGCTTAATTTTTGTCCTTGATATAAACATCATTTTCCTTTGGTTTTGTTAATGAATGTACCAGTTGCCATGCTTTTTGGTATGGTGGTTTACAGTAATTACTATATGAAGTAACTTTAGCCAATATTAATTTTGTGAACAAGAGCTAGTTCATGATTAGACATTGATCATTTCATTGATTGCCATGCTCTACATTTATCATTAAAGTACTAATTAACTCCTCTGCCATCAGTAATCGCATTAAAGATACTGTGTTAGAAATCACAGTACCACACCCCAAAATCTAATGTCGTCCTCAGCACAATTTCAGTTTTTGACCAAGGCAAAAGTAAAAATCAAACAAGACCACACAGAAATCATCACAGAGACAACATTGCTATGTATGTTTATATAGTTAGTTACGTAAAAGCTACTCTATTCATTACTTCAGTGCCAATACTCTCCCTCGTAGAAGCTATAATTTTTAGCCAACTTGGGAAACAGTGGCCTATAATGGACCCTTTTGGACATCCAGACTTTTAAATTTCCAAGGGAAGGTTCTCCAGACTTTGCCATCCAAGTGGGAATAAATGGCTGCCACACAGTCATTTTGGTCTCTCCAAGCTGCTCAAACATTGTGCCTCCTTTGAAGTGAATACTCTGATACACAATGGCTTTAGCCTCCGCACATCCTCTTATGTTTTTCTTTATATACCCAGGGCAGCCAAGCAAACTGGTAATTACCCATATTCTCTCGTTCTCTTTAAAATAGGACTGTTGATCAATTTTCACCGAGTTGGCTACCATGGCCCAAGATGGAGGACCACATGGTGAGATAAACTAATTTTCTTCTCTGCTATCCTAAGAGGTTTCTTAACAGGAAATCATCACTTTTAAATTGAATGTTCTAAGGGAGTTCTTGAAATTGCTTGGAGGTTTATCCCCTATCATGAAATAAAACCAGTGAACAAGGCTGTTATGAATTACACACAAATCCAGATAAGGGTGTCTGGTGTAGTGAAGTACTGGTGCATTTCATCCCTAAGAAGCCATCAAACTACTGTTTTCTCACTTTTAGCATTGCTTAAAAATTAATAATTGATGACTTAGATGTCACGCATATCTAAGAATATTGGCACAGAAAGAGGTACTCTCTTTAATGGTTCATGTGCATATTCCAGGGTGAGTTTTATTGTATCTCTAGCATGAACATTGGCAGTGATATTTTTGACAAAGGCCATCAATTAACGGCCATGTTTATGGATTTTGAAGGAAGGATTAAACCACAGAGGCCCAGGGCTAAACAGTTTCATAAAATGTTGTTGTATATTGATATTACTGAGTGATACACTTCTTATGTTTTGAAGAGTATGTCATTAACATGGACTAGCTGGAACAAGAAATAGTTATGGAAGAGCAGCCGGAAAGAGGAAGAGAAGAACAAAGAAAGAGAGAAGAACGAAGAAAAAGAGAAAGGGTATGAAAAGCGCAACAGGAGAGGGAAAAGGGTTGGGAAGAAAAAGAGAGAGATGTCAAGAGATGAGAGGCATGAAGTGGGAGAAAAGAAGAGTGGGTTAAGCAGCAAAAAAAAGGACCTGGGATGATATTAACAGAGGAAGAGATAACAGAGGAGGTAAGTGTAAAACCAAGCATTAAGTGAGTGTTAACTGACTGTAAAAGGTCTCATTTCAGTGGCATGTCTAACAAGTCACTTCGGGCTTCTTTCCAAGTGACCCTTAAAGAATAAGATTACACACAGCACACGATTATAGTAAATGTATAGATTAAGTGTTGTGTTTAATCATATATATCTGGCTCAAATATCTACAGGAAACACTTTGGTTGAAGGAGACAAATCTCACAGTTTTCATTTGATAACTATAGCAACATCTACATCTTGTGAAAGATAGGAGGAGAAAGCCTTGTAGAAATGGTCAAAATTCTAGTACAGGTATTTCATGAAGATGAATAATAAATGTATACCTACACAACTATTGGTGTGTCTGGTGCCAAAAGATTCCTCTTTGTCTGACCCAGACCCAAAAGGTTTTATCGCTTGACTCTAAGGTGAGGTTAGATGTTGCTCACTTGAGGCAGGACTTTTAATTAGGACTTTGTTTTTTTCCTCTACTCAGAGAGGTTAAAGTTCGAGGACATTTACTTGGACTACCTCCCTTCCCCCTTAATTGGACTTCAATAACATTGTGCTTGTCCGTAATTGTCTCATTTATATTATTATTCTAGTTTGTTGTCACAAGTGTAGAGGGTTTGGCCACCTAAGTGCCAAATGCCCGACGAGATGCGGCCCGGTTGTGCCCCACCATCAGCAAGCGGGCAGCAGATCAAGGAAAGGAAGTGATAGTGAATAACTATCATTTTCACTCCTCCCTTGACAATGAAAGATTTCACCAACAAGTTTAGTGAGTTATCTTATATTGCCAAGAGGTTTATTTTATACTCTAATATAAATAAATAAATAAAAAAAACCTACACGTGAAAGGCGGCAGATCAAGGAAAGGAAGTGATAGTGAATAACTATCATTTTCACTCCTCTCTTGACAATGAAAGATTTCACCAACAAGTTTAGTGAGTTATCTTATATTGCCAAGAGGTTTATTTTATACTTTAATATTAATAATCAATTAAAAAAACGTACACGTGAAAGGCTCGCACAAAAAAAATCATTTTTCTGACACATACCTCTACTTAAGTTATCCCTTTTAAAATTTTAAACCTATATATCTATGTCACACAGTAATTCCTCTTTTTTTTGAGTATGAGAAATCATGATCTCTTGGAAAATTACTTTATCAGTGTTTAAATTTAATATGCATTGTTTCTTTTTTTATTTTTGAGTGAGCTTAGTGATCTTGTTTAGGACAGCCATATTAGCATGTCAATGTGATTGGAAGACATTAAATATTTGGAAGAGAAACTTAAAACTTGTCCTTTGCTTACATAGATTTTTCTTTTGTGAAGCCCTACTAAGTGACTCTTGATCTCATGTCAAGTTCTCTTTTGGTTCCACAAGTAAACAGACACCATGTTGGAATGAGACAATAGTAGTTCATTCCAAGTCACCAAGGGCTTCTTTTGCACTCAACCCTTTCATTATTCTGTCACAATGTTTTATCTGATGGTGAATAATACCCATGGGCCTCTACGTAGATGTTCACTTTGCTTAAAATGCAAAGATAAATCAATAGCTTGCCATCAATATGTGCACATGCATCTGTGTATACAGTGACTCCTGGGAAAATTTCTTATCGCCAGAAAACATTTTAAAAACTAAATTGACTTAAATTTCAAGGGTGTGAGTAATATGCAGACCCTTTTCAACAGTCAGAACATCACAGTGGTGAAACATAACACCAAAACTTGCAGACTGATAAACTGATATTTTATAGGGAAGGCTACATTCTCTCTGTCTTGTGGTGTTTATACAGTGACTTTTTCCTCCTTGGTAAAAAGTTGATATTTATATTTGTATGTGCACTGTGGTCTTACACAATATCTGTGAACTGAATGTTAAATATGTTGTAATATGATATAATATTATTTTGAAAAATACAATGAGTTTTACTCTTATGAATACAAGCACAACAATCTCAATTTTACTGGTCAATACCAAAAAAACAATGGAGACTGCCTGCTGAAAGACAACTTGGCCAACACAAAATCAGAAATTTGACAGAGAACCTCTCAACTCCTCACAGTGTTGTGTGAGTTTGATCTTTTATGACTCTGTGACTTTCATGGTCCCACCATCTTGAGTAAACATTATTTTAAGACAAGGCTTCTCTTTCAGCCAGGAAGGAACACATCTCCTTCTCTGGGATCGTTGCATATTGCTGAGCTTTTAGGGGCATTGTGTTGATCACTGCGAAAGCATGAGTAATGGGAGGAACTTTTGGGTGGCAAGTGAAACCCTTCACATGGGAATGAGCAGTTTTGTCCAAGCAGCAGCCTCGACCCAGGACTCACTCAAAAATCCAATATTTTTCATGCTTCAACAAATGTTTGGTCCACATGGCAGGCCATAGAGGCAAACGTAAAGCATGAATGCATTGCAAAAACGCAAAGACTCCAAGAACTACAGCTGGAGAAGCAAAACTGTTGAAAAAGGGAACCCTGGTAAATGTTTCTCGTCTGATTCATCGACCAGAATGTCAATTGATCCTGAAGAAAGTGTTCTCTTTGAGCTGTGTATTTGAGATCAATTCGATTTTAAGGTTTTTGAATGAGACTGATTCTTCAACTCAGCCTCCCATTTCCACAAAAGAGAGTGGTGATTTTGATCCAGCTAATCTCAAAGTTGAAGTTGATAATTTTCTTCCTTTTTTTGTTGACCCAGGGAGCAATTCTGTTGCTAGCAGTTGCAAGGAATCATCCAAAAGTGATACTGAAGGTTTCAATTGCAGCTCACACAGCAAGTTTGATGGCGAGCAAGGTGAAACAAGGGACATTATTGAGGAGCCTGCAAAAAGCAATGGCAATTTGGGAGATGATAATACACCACTTTAAAACGGTGCTAGTGTATCAAGGCTCAGAGCTATCATGCTAGTGATGCTTTTCAGCTTAAGACACTAGCTCTTGGGAGAAGCTTTGATTGATTTGGTGAAAGTGTGGCATGCTTTACTGCCTAATGGTCATATAATTGTGGCTTCTGCTTTCTTACTTAAGAAGTCCTTTGCTGGTTTCTTTTACGAAACTACACTGAAGAAGCATTCTTATTGATGCAACTGCCTTGGTAAAATAAATAGATAGAGTTAATAAACAAATTTAACTTCAAGGTAAAATTCAAGCATATAATAGGTTTCATATGCATTACAAGAACACTTTTTCCATTCACTTTTCTTGAAGAAAACTGATAAATGAATTTGTCATTTTAAGTTTAAAATTGTCTGTTCTTCACCATTTGGTATTAATTAAAATATAACTTGCCACCCATTGAAAGTGTGCCCGTGGTGATGATCATTATGCACATTAATTAATTAATATTAGTTAAAGGCAAACCTGCTTTTGTTATTAAACAGATGCAGAGTTTGTCAGATTTCTGGGCTATCGATTTGAGAATGATTTCCTTGATGATGATGATGACATATGTGACATATTCAGTGGACAAGAGTACTGCAAACTAATGCAGCCTGGTGGCATTCTCAGCAAAGACAACCTGCTGAACATTTCGTTCTCATTCAATACAGATGGTGTTGCACCCTAAAAGTCATCCAACAAACAAAATTCCTGGCCTATTTCCTGGTCATCAATGAACTTCCTCCTAGAGGTAAGAATTCTGGGAAATCATTACACTCTAATTAGTAAACTTTCAGTTTGAATTCTTATGACACACATAGACATTCCCTCGTAAGTTATAAGTTGAGACTTTCCTCTTAATTAGTTTACCATGTAATGGGTTTGGAGTCATTAAAACCAGATAGCACAATTAATTACCATCTTTACAGTGTTAATGGTTTTTCAAAAATTGCTACCATCACATGTTAAAAACATCTTGGAGCTGCCTGCTAAGCATGTAAAACTGAAAACAGCTTTGATATGCATGCCAATGTGCAATCTGTCTGTTTTAGTTTCTGCAATGTAGGTGTTCTAGAAAGTACATGTTCCTTGGTGGTCTCTGATGTTCCAAGAAAAAACCTTACATGCAAGCACTTTGTCGGCCAATAATTGAAAGCACCAGTGACCTTTACTGCAGTGGTATGAGTACTGTTAGACACTAACAATAAATGCACATATCATAGATTGAATTCTCCATTGCACAGAATCTTTTGGTGATAGTAGTGAGTCCAAAATTGCCTTAAATAACCACTGTTCTTAGAAATACTATGGTCTGTGATAACTTTATTTCCAAACGAACTCCATGACCCTCCAGTTTTTTTACCTTTCTGACATAAACTTATCATTGTCTAACTGCAGCCAAAGTTTAATAGAAGTCTGTACATTTGAACATTATGGGTGCAAACACCCTTAAGGTGTTTTGTTGCTCTTACCAAAAAAAGCAAAGCACCCTACATCACCACCTTTCAACCCCACTGATACAAACTTTCAGGGTTCTTTCAAGAAGGGCTTCAAGCAGGGGACCCAAAAATGGCTAACACCAATCTTATGAGGCATGCCACTAGGACCTACAAATGGTATCCTAGCAATCTGCTAAAAGGAAACCTGAGTAGATATCAAACTCTGACTTCAGAGCATAACAGGACAGAAAGTAACATTCCATTTCACTTTAAAGGAAACACCATTGAATCTTCTTAATGTCTTAAGTTGCTAGGAGTTACCATAGACGAACAGTTGAATTTTGCTGCTCTGTGTTTCAAGAGGACGAAACTCCTGGCTGGCAAGCCAGAAAATCCGTTGCATTTATATTGCTTGTGCAAAGGAAGATCAGGACTCCAGTAACAGGATCTTCCAGTGGAAGAAGTGTGGCAACAGACGGCATGCGAAAAGTGACAGCAGACGATGGAGAGATAATGAGCATCAAAAATAAAAAAGTAACTAGGTGTGATGCTACGGCTTGGTGAGTAGTGATTTATAATTTACTTTATTTGATGTTTGTATTAAGCAGTTTATAAGGATAATTTATGCTTATTATTAAGCTTATTGCTTTGGAGAAGAGAAGAGCTAAAATAAAAGGCAAAATGAACAATACTCTGAACACTTGTTAGCACTCGAGTCTACATAATAATTATTTGGAGGTGAAATCTTCGATAGTTTATGTATATTTGTTAATAATTGGCTTCTTTATCATGTAGTGCTGAACCTGCTGCTCGTGAGGAGCTAGCAGAGATGAGTGATGGTGAAGATGATGAAAATGGAGATGAAGAAGGAGATGTTGAGTACTCTGTTTCTGAATCATGTGATAAAAAGGAAAAGAAAGTAGGTAGAAAAGCAAAATGGTCCCAGCAGATGTTAGATAATACTGTAGATTTTATAATAAGTAGTAATTAGTATAATAAAAAGCTTATATTTACAATTACAAAAACAAAGGAATGGACAGATTTATGCTGAGGTACTTTGCGAACTTAAGAAGAGATGTAATTCCAGAAATGAAAGTGTCCCCTTTACTGTAAAACAGCTCAGAGCAAAATTAAAAAAACTTGTAGCAGAATGTAAGCGTGTAGCTTTGACCATGAAAACGTCCACAGTGGTGAAACAATTTCAGGAAGATAGGGGATACTTTTACGATGCACCCTTACACAAGTTTACATCTAATAAATGATATAGATCATCACCCATGTTTCAGAAGATTTTATAAGAAATATAATTAAAATAAACAAAACTCTTTAGCTTTAATTGTTTCATTTTATGCTTGCTATTTGAAATAAGGTTAAAAATTCATATATAACATTGAAACTAAGCACCAAATGATACCTTTTCCAATGTGTTATTTAAAACCTTAAGCACACAATACTTTCTCTGGCAGACTGATTTTCTAGTCTATATGGCTGTTTTAACAACTGTCATTACCATAATTGTAATTAATGACTTGACCACACTGACAGCCTTACATTCCTTTATCATGCTTAATTTCTGCTTATCGCAACATTTGTTTGCTTCTTCTTTTTTTCATTGCCTTCTCAAAAATTTATTGAATATATTTTCTTTACTCATCTGGCAAAATAAGCACAATTCAAATTTTGTGGTTATAAAGTTAACTTCAAAAAGTTCAATAGATGCTTTAACAGTCATCACCCCCCATTAAAAAAAATGAAAAATTATGCAACTTTGGCAGCTTGGTATGCCACAACGCAATGCATTCCTGCTTTGAAACCTTGCATGCTGGCAAATGGTCCTTTCATCATTTTGAATATATCAGTGTCCTCACCATCCCGTGCTATGTTCTACAGCGTCGAGACCGTCCAACTCACTGAGGCGGCGTTTAAACTTTTGTTTCATCACGCATCCCCTTCAAAAGGAGGTCTGATCTGGAGTCACCAGATCATGAATGCATGTGGCTGTGGCTTCATCCTCCGTGCCTACCTCGTCCACTCTCTGGCATCACCATTGGTGCTATGTACTTCCCTGAAACACCCACTGACTTACAACGGACTCATGCTAGTTATATCATCGAGTGTATTGACTCTGTTAAGTCCACTCATCCTGACTGTGGGGTAGTACTTTTAGGTGATTTTAACATCCTGAACGTCATGAACATTTTAGCAAACCACACCCTAAAACAGCTTGTCCACAAACCTACTAGGGGTAATAATGAAACTGTGACACTTAAGAAGGGCCATGTACATCAGCTGTTTTTAACCTTCAGCAACTCAACTCCAACCTTGCTATCATGTTTGTGCGGTTACAAATCCAATGTGGCGCTTGGAACTGTAAAAAGGGCTATTTGATTATAATCAACTGCACAAAGCCTGGTCCTACACCTGCTAAAACAACACCTAAAATTATGGTCATTAACCCTCAATTGATTGTTAAAAACCAATCCTATACCTGCCTTGAATACTGAGCTTCATGGCAAAAATATCAACATTTGCCTCATCGCAGAGACATGGCCAATGGATATGTTATAGTAGGAAAGGATTGTAAATATGATTGAATAGGAGGTGGAAAATCTTACTTTACAAAAAAATGCAAATGAAAAGTAGAGCTGAGTTTTCAAGTGTACTTTTTGCAGCATAAGGCATAGCATGGGCCAACACGGCAAAATGTATTGGTTTAATTGCAATTTCAATTATCACAATGCCAGTAAAAGCATGCCTAAAACAAAAGAATAGTGACGCAAAAAATCAAAAAACCAAACATGCACTCCGAAAATATGAATGAAATGTTTTTTATCTCGATCTGTAAAATAGTCCCTAACACCTCGTTAACCGTGTTTTGGAGCAACGCCCCTTGGAACTTGAGAATCTAGATTTGTTGGTCACTGCAATTGCTAAATAAAATATTGACGCATCATTCCACCATTGGTTATGAATTCTAGCTGAACTTCACTTCTATCTTTGAAAACTCATCTTTCCTGGCAAAACAAAGAGCATAGCTAGCACACCCACATTCCATGGTTCACCGGATACGGATATTGACAATGCCACAAGCCAAGAAACCACCCAAAAGAATGACAAGCATACAGCCATCCCATTTCAAAACCTCGAAAGGAACTGGTCACATAAGAAAAATGACAGAAAAGGGATTGGCCTTTCGTTTGAAACTTAAGTTTGCAAATCATCTCTAAAAGCATGCCTTCGAACAGAGATTGACTTTTTTTCTTGAACAAATACACTAAAGGCAAGGCAAACAACACTGTAAAAGGTTACTTAGCCATGAACTCTGACAGCACTTAAGAAAGGGCCAAAGGATGCTTGACCACCGTTTTGGTTAAAAGCTGGCCTAAGATCAACGACAGAGACAGTGGTGGTATCCAAGACTTTGCTGATTTCCTTGTACGCTGTGAAGAGGCAATGAAGACCATGTAGTCAATGGGGGACCTCAACTCAACAGAAACCCTCCATCTTGTAAGCAACAAACTGCCTTCTTGCTCTGCAGTAAAATGGTGTCAGCATGCCCACAAAGCACAGACGAAGTCTATGAAGATTGTTACCTTCAGCAACTTTACGAAGTTTCGAAGTTAAGGAAGAGGCAAAGCTACCGAATGACCCTATTTTCTCACCGGATGCCTTAAAGGCAGAAAGGAAGAAAACCGATACCCAGACAAGGTTGGGATGGAGAAGCAGACAAAACAAAGGGAGCGAAGGCCTAGCAAGGGCAGATTCTTTTGTGACAACAACCATCCACTTACAAAACAGCTCTTTTCTTCATCAAAAACTTCAGCGGATCAAGTCAATCAAGCTTGCCCCCTTTGCAATGGTCAGCATGCCCTTCTCAAACGCAGCAAATTTCTGAAGAGTTCAGTAGACGGACGCAGTGAAATTATTCACAGCAAGAATCTATGCTTTGGGATATCAGAACCGACCCACTTGAAAAGAATGTGGAAGACGTCACCATACACTACTACATGGCGTGAAGCCAAGGTTTACACCAAGCAAGCAGCCCAACCCCAAGGCGCATGAAAATCAGCAATTCTCTGACAAGAAAGAAACACCAAGTGAGAAACCGCCAGTCAAGGAATCTGCCAGCTCTAATCTTATCAGTGTAGTGCACAGCTCAGCTGGAGGATCCACTGGTGTAATTACCCATTGCAGAATTGTCCAAGTCATTCTATTCCACAAGAATAATCCATTAAAGGCCATCAAGATTTATGCGCTGTTAGATGATGCAAGCAACACAACCTTCATTACCACCCAAGTACAGCGCGAACTTGGTATTGAAGGCGTTGAAATTAGTTTGGATTTGAGCACATTGCTTGGTCGTGAAAGGCTAATGGTACAAAGAGTCAATGGCTTGGTAGTAGAGCATTTTGACAAACGCATCCAAATTGAGTTACCAAAGACAAATGCAAGACAAAGCATTCTATCCAGACAAGACCAGATACCAAGACCAGAAACTGTAAACAACTGGCCACACCTTAAGAGAATCAAGGGTGAAATTCCACCATAGGAGGAGAATATGGAAATTGGCCTGTTAATTAGCTGTAACTGTCCTAAGGCGATTAAACCAACAACCATAATTCGCAGAAAAAGTGATGATCCCATTACAGTTCCCCTGGGAGACTACGCCCCAGAATCTTCGTGTCATGGCATCTTGTCAAGAGAAGTTGTTTCTGGTACTGACAACAGCCAGTTAGGTTTCGTTTTCAATGGAAAAATGAAAGAGGTGATAAATCCATCTGCAATCAATCAGGTGTTTGAACTCAATTTTATGGAACACAAGTCAAATAAATTGAGACATGAACCGTCCAAAGAAGACAAAGTTTCTTAAGACATCTGTACAAGGGATTCACTGGTGTGGATTCACCGCTACCTCTGAGAGTGCTTATCACATCATTTGCTTGCTTCTTCTTCTTTTCCTTGCCTTCTCAAAAATTCATGAAATAAATTTTTTATGCTCATCTATATATATATTTATAAGCACAAATTAGTTAATAAATTTAATGATAGCTGTTGGCACAATGAGCACAAGTTAAAGATTGTGGTAAAAAAGTTATCGTCAAAAAGTTCAATATATGCTGTAACAGTCATAGCCCCCCATTAAAAAAATGAAAAATTCTGCAGCTTTTTATGCCACAATGCAATGCATTCTTGCTTTTAAACCTTGTGTGCTGGCAAATGGTCCTTTCATCATTTTGAATATATCTATTTGTTTTTGTGTTATGTTTATGTCTGCATAGCGACCCGTTGAAATAGTGTACTTTGTGCCTTTTGTAAAATAAAGGTCAAATTTAAAGGCCTATAAAAAGGTCTAGTAAAATATTTACAACTCATACCAAGTACATCATCTTAAACCTTCATTTTTTGAGTTTAATTCCTCCAATTTTCCTAAGTCAAAAGAGCTGAACTATGGCCTCTATCGAAGTAGATAATCTACTAAGAAGTGTACAACACTTCAACCTGATGGCAAACCATTAACCATTGGCAGGCAATGACAATGATGGCTTATAGGTTTATAACTATATGCTGACAATAAAGGGCTTATTATCCCATATTATACATAGAAGAGCTCTGCTCCTGCATCGAGATGGTGAACAAGTGCAAATTTCTTCAAAACTCTAGCCAGTACAGGCACAGCAGCCAAGTATGGAGATAATATTGGCCAATATTGATAATGTTGTAAGCTGTGACATATTAGCCTCAAAACATTCCTCTTCTGTTCAGCCTCTAACTAACAAGTTTTACTGTCATTATTATTGTAGTTTAAATTTTAAACAGGCTTTCCGTAATTTGTTATTTATACAATTTGTATTTAGATATTTCTTTATCTTTTTAAACTATTTTAATTGTGTTAAGTTGCACTAATGTGATCAATGCCTTTGAATCATGGAGAAAAGGCACTATATGAATTATTATTTCAATTAAAAGTCATGTCAAATGGTTAACATCAACAATCCCTTTCAGCAACATCAATGTTGTAAGGAGCAAGACAATATTGGTGTGTACTTCCAGGCAATGGGTGCTCAGTAGTTCAGTTGCAGTTTTATTCTCAGATTAGGAACACCAGGCAATCAAAACCAAAGTATTGGGAACAATAAGTACACTAAACACCATGCACCTGATCAACAAAAATCTGCAGAGACTATTGTCAACCAAAACATGTGGTTTACTCGCCAAAATAAAGACCTTCCTTAGACCCTATGGCTCATATCAAGAACTAAAATGGTCACCCAATCCAAAGAAATTTTTTCATATCACCACCTCCATTACAGGAAAAGATGAGGGTTTGCTTTAGGACATAAACCAAAAGAGACTTGGCACTGCTTTGAATAAGTTGAATGAGAAGAAAGGGATTAGTGGGAAAGGAAGACTGACGGAAAGCACAATTGAAAAGTTACAAAATTATTATGGTATTGCCATCAGAAGCAATTCTGTTAATCTTTCAGCTATGAAATCAGCTATTCATGCAAGTTTGTTTCATTGCACATCTTCAGCTGACAGAAAGTTGCATTTGCAGCATTGCTCACAGGGTGCTAACAGTTGGTGTCAATGCTAAACTTACACCAATTTTTGCTAGACTGATGGAAATACACAAAAGCAGAATGAAGCTCTCAATGCTATGTTCTGGGAGTAAGTAAAAAAGAGTGTCTTTGCTGGCCCCGAGATCTTGCCATTAGACATTTATGATGCAGTAGCCCAGTTTAATATTGGATGTCAGGCTTCTGTGAAGATTTTTGAGGAACTTGGAATTTCCCCTGGTCATTATTGTAAGATGAGGCTCAATGAGTTGATTAAGTCTGTGTTCTAAAAGCCAACTCCAAAGGACAAGGAATCAACAAGTCTCAATGGAGATTACTTTGCGGCAAAAGAAAAGAACTGATAAACATGAAAAGGAGGGTGATACCTACGTACCTAATGGACTTTAACGTGCCAAGTGTAAATTGGCACAAGTTATTGTTTTCCATGAAAGTGACCATTACTCTGTGTTACAGACTCAAAACTAGTATTAAACCTTGAGGAAGCAGAAGAACAGCGACTCAGAGAGGCTGAGAAAAGGAAGCAAAGTTGGAATGAGGCAGGTTAAACTTGTGTGAGAGAAAAAAGGAAGAATCAGAAGAGAAGAGGGAGAATCAGCTGCAAAGTGCTAAACATTTCACGCAGCAGCCAACAACAGACTTTTACAGGAAATCAAGAACAAAAACTTTAACATGTTGCCAAAAAGCAGATGGAAAATGTTATGGAACAAAGCAGAGAGTGTTTGAGTGATAGATTATTGTTAATAAGCCGAACCCTGTTTCTTGTGAAAAATATCCCAAACTTTTGTGTCCGCTACTGAAAATATCACCTGGCTTTTAGGTGAAGAAATACAGTAATACCGATGTCCGAGGTATTTATCTGACTTATTTCATGATATTATTTCTGAGGGATATTTATATAACGATCCTTTCTTAAAGGGGACAAACACCGGCTAATTAGTACAGTCACACCTTTGGATCAAAGCAGATACAATGAAAACAACCTGATGTGTGCATTTCCCACAGGACTGTGAGAAGTTGTTCCAAGCAAGTGCTGGACATTTTCGTACTTTGATATTTTGGGACAAGGGACATAGCATTGCATTTTCTTTGTTTTTGGTTTATGTGTTCTGTTGTTTAATATTTTGTTTTTGTTCTTGTTTACTAGTTTTAAATGTGTATGAACGTTTTGCGACGACTCGTTTCTCTGTTTTTGTGCTGTCATTATGGCAACAACTATTTTTCTTACTCAAAATAGTTTTTTGGATGAAAAATTACAACACAATTTTGGTATTGATTCTATTTTAGATGGCCTTGTAGCTAGTGATGAGTCAGCAGTGATCATGGCGGATAGACATGTCTTACATTTGTCCATAATTTTGTCAAGTTTTCTGGTTTTAGCTTCGTATATTTCGAACTTAAATTACCTCAAACGATTCAGTAATTCCCAAACACAAACATGGGAGAGTTTTTCAAGCATGGATGCCACATATTTGGTCGAACTTGAACTCGAACTTAATCCATTGACACATGTGAAGCGAGCTGGTGGCCATCTTGTCATCTTTTGCTGGATGAGGTTTCAGAAGTCATGTGTGGTGTATTATTCGAACTGCACAGCCTCCTTTAACCCGGCTGATGTCTCCCATGTCAGAGGTGGTGATATCCATCCTCTGCCAGGATCGATCAGACAGTGTAAGGAGTCAGTTTGACATACCAAAAGCACTAAAGGCAAATGTTAAAGTCGCTCACTTGAATGTCTGGTCCTTGAAATCAAGAGAGAATTTCTGTCTTGTCAAAGACACCATATTGCATAATGGCTTTGATATCTTCACTGTATCTGAAACGTGGGTGGATTTATTTGTGTCTGACACAAGCCTCGAGATCTCTGGTTACCAACTTTTCAGACAGGATTGTGGACAACATAAAGCTGGAGGTGGCTTGTGCACCTACGCCAAGTCAAAGGTCAAGATTACTGTGCTTGAGAATTTATCATCTGCCTGCGACAATGGCTTCCAACAACTTTGGCTAAGAGTTCAATGCAGAAAGTACAAATAATTTTTGATCTGCAACACATATCGGCCTCCACAAACACCAACCACATGCTTTGAATCTCTTGCAAATAGATCAAAACAATGACATTGAGGGGTGGCACAATGGCCTAAACTGGAGAGCACAAGGCAAGGTGCATTTTACAATTTTAACTGTTAGTTGAACTTTTAAAAAAGAGGCAAACTTGGTCAATTTGCAAATGAGACTTATGGCGAACCAAAAGCCGAAAAGAATACAGAGGAAACAGCATAGAGAACTTCAATCTGAACTGATGGGTCAATGGGAGGACTATGCCTCCAATAGAAAAAGTTTACTTCAACTTTTGAACAGATGTGTACTTCTGGCCATTAGAGTGTAATTAGAAACCACTGAATTTCTTTGACATAATAAAAACAATTCCTGAATTGCTGTCCATCTTGGTATTTGGCTCAGACAGGTAAAAAATTATAATGTTCTTGGACATCGGATAATTGTGGCGTTTTATGCAATGGTACCTGGCAGAAGAGAGGATATTACTGACAGAATGGTTCCATGATCATCATGTCAATTGATACTGGTCAAGTCTTGGAATCAGAGGGTGCAGATCATATTTTTAGACAGTCTGTTGTAACTCGTAAGCTTCAGTATACTGACTTGTATTCAGAGGTTACAGCAAAAGTTACAATCAAGTCAACAATGTTTATTCTGCAGATGGAATTCAAGTTGTCAAGAAAAAATGTGTAGGACATGTACAAAAATGAGTTGGCACAGCATTCAGGAAACCAAAGAAAGATGCTCCTGCTCTTGGTGGGAAAGGAAAACTCACTGATGCCATGATTGATAAACTTCAGAACTAATATGGCATTGCTATTCACTCTAATGTTGGAGACTTGAATGGAATGAAAAAGACAATACATGCAAGTTTCTTCCATTCTTCCTCAAATAAACAACGTGATCTTCACACCCACTGCCTAACTGGACCCTGGTGTGGTTATAAACAAGACAGAATAAGTTCTAAACATTTTCCTGGCTTGATTGATGCTGTTATTGCAAAGTCAGATTTGCGTATTAAAGATTACGTGAAGATTCTTTGCTAGAAATATGCCTTCATGGAAAAACCCATAATCAGAATGAAGCTGCAAATCAAGTGGTGTGGGTAGTCAGTGAGGTCATTCAGGTCAGCAATCGAATGAGCGAACATGGATGATAACAGTGAGAACGCCAGAGGTCCATATTTGCAATATTTATCTGATTCTTCCACATTTAATGCTACGAGAACTACGAAATATAGATGGAGCAAGAAAGTTAAATTAACAAGCAAGAGAGAGGAGAGCTATCCAGAGGAAAGAACCTAACAAAAAATTGCATTGATTTCAGCAGCACAAGTTCTCAAAGGAATGAAGTAGTTCTCAGTAGCTCAACCTTGTCTTTCTTTTTGGACGATTTTAAGTCACCTGAACTAAATTATTTTAATGGTAAATTGGAAATGAACAGTTTTTCCAACAGTGGTGACAAGTTTGAGACCAAAAGAGTCACAGAGCTGACGTTGATGTGAGTGACAATCCGGCCCTATTAACTGATTTTGTCAGGGAAGACAACTGTGATGTTTTATGCAGACAATTTTCCAGATTTTGTTGAAATGTTAGCTGAGGAGGAAACTGATGGGAAGAATACCAATGAGGAGTGCAACAACGACAATGAATCATCAGATGATAATTCTAACCAACATCTCTATCTTGGATGTCTTCTTTCACTTGGGATAAGCATGCTGCTAGTGGTCGTGTTCTGTGTGGGGTATGCTCTCTCCGGGATCACTCTTGCTGATTTTCTCCCTTTGATTGAGCTGCATTGCCTTTTACCTAACCAGTGTGCAAAATCGACAAAGTTACTCTGTGATTTTTTCAGGAAATTGAAGAGTCCTCTGGAACTTCATTACTACTGTTCATCTTGCCAGGAATACTTTGGAACACAGAAACCAAGGTGCTGTTCAAATGCAGCCTGCCTGAGCAACTTTGAGAAGAAAAGATCTGAGCTACACTATTTCATTGTCATACCCTTTACAAACCAACTAAAAGCAATAATTCGAGGTAAGTTAACTTCAGTCTCCTTTCATGCACAATGAAACGCTTTTCAGTAAGAGTATATTGAAATTGAAACTTATTGTAAATTGTGATTTTAATCTCCTTATCTTTTTGGTATAAGAAAGGGTTAAAATTTTTCTCACAGTGTATTTAAGGTATACACATTAATAAAGATTTTGAATTACTTTATATGTAAGGGGAAGGTGTGAGGACTCTGGGCAAAGTCTCTCCATACAAAACTTTGCCAATGAACTAACTTTCACCAGCAATATACTGCTTTTTTAACGTTTCTTATTCAATAGTTTTGCTTTTATTCAAAGGTATGGGGGATTCAGCGCATGAAATGCTCAGTCATCATACATCTAGGAAGAAGAAGTGAAAACACAACATCCAGGACATATTTGATGATGAACTGTATAAGAACCACTTTAATCCTAAAGAATATTTGCATGGGACATCAGCTCCTGCAAGAGGAATGGAAATCCACCTATCCCTGATGGTGAACACAGATGGTGTTTCAATCTTCTGTTCATCCAACTTTAGCTTGTGGCCTGTGAACTTTGTCATAACTGGTTTGCTTCCAGAGAAGAGGTGTCAAATATATATTTTTTTAATGCTTTCAATTGGACAGTTTATTACAGTAGGGGGCCTGAAGGTATGACTACTTTTAAAAATTGTCATGCATAATACCCTATAAGAAGTCAACACGGTGCCGTTTGAAATCTTGCAGTGGTTTCAAATGGTCACCACCCAGTTACTTAAGTATTGGGGAATCTAGACTACTGTACACCAACAAAGTATATTTAATGAAACCAGCTTTTACAGAATGAAAATAAGAATCAGGCAGTCACTAACTAGTAGCCACCAACTTTTGTTTTCAGTGAGCTAAATTTGAAGTTAAAAAACATTAATTTGGCAGCTTCTATGAAGAAAAACATGTTCAGTTACCTGTTTAGATGCCACACAGCAAAAAGTAAACAGACTTTTTTTCCTTTTTTAAACAGACTTAAATTTGCATATGTGGTGAACATCATATGCCAATGCAGTGACATGATATGTCCACAGTGAAATCCGCCGAAGAGTGTTAGGCACTGAATATACCACTCATGGATGAGTGCTTTTCCAGTAGTTAGGCAGTCATGACACATAGAAACATAGCTTAAATGACCTCAAATCACCTGAAGTCAAATTTTCCAAGCTTCTTTTAGGGGAAATTTTACTGAAGGTTGATAAGAATGCTAAGGATGTAAACCAATGAGGCAATTCAAGGATTCAGTTTCCTCCCAAATTCAGTCAAACCAGCCAAAAGACCACATCCATCAGAGTATTTTATTTCAATTACTATTTACTTATAAAAGACCTTTATAGGGAGTTCTGTTAGTTTCTGAGGGAAACCTTCCAGGATTTGCAAATTGCAATTTTTCCTTTCAATACCGTCTTCCCACTTAACAGAATCCTCTATCAATTCAGTTACTCCCCGAGTATCTAGAGGTTCACAATACAACAAAAGAAAGATGGTATTTTACATGACTTGTTCAGACGCTGGAGATACAAGAGTTGTGCCAACTCACTTACCATTTCCCTCAAGAGAATAATTGTAATTAACTATGGAATATACTCTGTCAATCTCAATCCAAAGTGACAACCACACTGCCAACCAAACACTGGTTAAAAAAGAAGAGGAGAAGATGCATTTCACCTGTGCATTTCTTCAGCAATTATTGATCAATCACTTGAGAACAAACATGAGGATGTTTTGCCCCACTGTGATTGGTACATTGCATAAACAAACAGATAGCACCCTCCATCTGCTCAACATTCTAGACATTCTAACAGTATGTAATTGTATATTGACTCAATGCTTTAAAGTTTTTGCATCTATGGCACAAAGGCCTGCCAAAGTGGATCCATTCCAAAATCATTTTCAATATGCAAGCAGTATTCATGGATACAACACCAGATATACTCCCAACAAATTTATGTAAACCTAGAGTGTGCAATAACTCTGGAAAACAAACAATTCCTAAGAAAATGAAAGCTGACCTTGACAAAAGAATAGAGAATCTCGATAAGGGAACTTGGAGGTCATTACCGAAAGTCTAACTCTGAAACCAGAAGTTTTAATGAAAACAAAGCCTGTTTTTCTGAGCATGGTACCTCATATGCTGACCAATACTGTTGCCCAGTAGCAAAATCCCAATTTAAACTTGGCAGTTATTTAGCCCTCTGGCTCTTCATTTAAACTATTTCTCAGTGTTCCAAGTATTTCGTATTTTAAATTTGTAATGTACATCAGTGTATAAAGTATTACACATTATGCATAAAAAATGGTCACTTAGTCACCAGGAACTGAGACCAATAATTTTAAACCTTAAATACAACTACCAGCCAGAAAAAGGAAGCATAAATTTGCTTCATATGGAATTTAGGCAGCTATCTATGAAAGTTAGTAAATTAAAATAACTAAGAGAAAAAAACTTTGTAAGAGTGAACAAAGAGAACTAGATGCTGTGTGCCATACATTGTCAGTGAAGCATATGCCCCTTGGAGATCTAATAGAAAGATACAGTTGTAGTAATGATAAACAAATTTAATGAAAATTAGACACCAATGCCTAGAGAAGGGCTATGTAAATAGATTTTAAATTGATACTTTTAACTATTTTTTATTCTACCAAAGAATTGTGTTTTTTGGTCTTTATATCTCGATATTTACATGTCTGCAATGAAGATAAAGTCATACCAAGGGGTTAGACTTGCCTTTGTATAGATATTCCGGACTGTATTTTGATTTTTTCTACCACAATTTTAGCTTTTATCAATTTCTTTCTTTCTTATTTGTAATGGGTAATGATATAATCATACATGGATGACTTACATAAGTAGCACTTTGTGCAAAAATTTGCCACTCCCATGCTGACAAATACCAAGAAGTCCAACACATCTCCCCAGCCCTGCAGGAACTAGGTTTGTCCTATTTTAAGAAACAGCTGCTAGTATCCAATGCCATACAGTTGCACAATGCTATGAACAGCCTTGAGCCCTCATATTACCAACATTTTGCTTCCAAATTCAAACATTTTCTTTAAGGAGGCATACTTTGCCTTAACTATTTAGGTTACCTCTCAAATGGGTTATAAAGCCCAGTTGTTAGTGTATAATCTCTCTCTCTTTTTCTTTTAACCACAGTAAAATAAACAACTTTGTTTTAATGCAAAGAGCATTTTTTCTTTTTTAGCCATCTTTTCATCCCCTGGATTTCTGTTATTCCCATAAATTCCAAAGTACACGCACCACAAGGAATATATATATATATATATATATATATATATATATATATATATATATGTATCATATACATAATAGACATATCCACACCTATTACTGAAATCTGCAAAATAGGCTTCGTGGTAAATGTCGATGCTCTGTTCAATTGTTACACAGTAGACAAGTTCATTACTTTTATTGAGTGATGATAATTCAGGTTGGCAGATGATAAGTAATCTTTCTTTGAAGCAGAGGTTGCATCTTTTGCTTGCGCTGTTGTAGGGTGATCTTGATGAAAGGATGTGCCATGAAATAAAGTGGTCAATGTTCTTTTCTTTAAGGGTCCAGATATGTTTGCTGAGTTCAGTAGAGTTTCTGTGTTTTGTGTGTTGGAATGATGTGGTGTGGTTTCTGTATCTAGTCTTGAAGTTGTTTTCTGCAAGTCTGATGTATGTCCCAGTGGTGCTGTTGTCCTTACATGTGGTGGTGGCTCGGTAGATTAGTGATGACTGGAGGCAGTTTCCATTAAGTGGGCATGTGATTTTCTGTCAGCAGCTACAATTTTTGGTGTCTTTTGTGTTGGTGTTATCTGTGGTGTCATTGATGTGTTTGGATGAATTAAAAATGCGTTTTTTGTGGTTGTTGATGATCTGTTTAGTGTTATTCATGCAGCTGTAACTGATTTTAATTGTGTTGCGATTAAAGATTCTTCTAAGTTTGTGGTCTTTCAGGAAATGCTTGTCTACTAGGGCAAAGAATCGGTGCTTGATATTGGTGCTGACATTTTTGCTGACTGGGGGGTTGTACCAGAGTATGTTGTTCTGTTGGCTTTTTTGTTTGTTAGTTGTGGGTGGTTCATAGTGTAGAGTGCACTGGTATCTGCATTCCTCGAGTGCTTATTGATATGGAGCCGCCCCTCCATATCAAAAAGCATTCCTCAAGTGCTTTCTGATATGGAGGGGCGGCTCCATATCAAAAAGCACTCGACAAATGCGGATACCAGTCCACTCTACATGATGAAACACCCACAACTAACAAATGAAAAGACAGTCAACAGAACAACATATGTTGATACAACCCCCCATTAAGCAAAAATGTAAGCACCAATATCAGACACAGATTCCTTGCCATAGTAGACAAGCACTTCCCAAAAGACCACAAAATTAGAAAAATCGTTAATCGTAACACAATCAAAATCTGCTACAGCTGCATGAATAACATTAAACAGATCATCGATAACCACAACAAACACATTTTAAATTCATCAAAACACAACGATGACACTGCAGATAATACCAACACAAAAGACACCAAAAATTGCCGCCGTCAACAGAAGAACACATGCCCACTTAATGGAAACTGCCACCAGTCACCACTGATCTACTAAGCCACCATCACACGTAAGGACAACAGCACCACTGAAACATACATCAGACTTACAGAAAACGACTTCAAGACTAGAGACAGAAACCACACTGCATCATTCCAACACACAAAACACAGAAACTCTACCAAACTCAGCAAACATATCTGGACCCTTAAAGAAAATAACATTGACCACTTTATTTTATGGCACATCCTTTCATCAAGATCACCCTACAACAATGCAAGCAAAAGATGCAACCTCTGCATCAAAGAAAAATTACTTATCATCCACCAACTTCAATTATCATCACTCAATAAATGTAATGAACATGTGTCGTCATACCACCACAGACACAAAGCATTACTGCGAAACAATTGAACAAAGCATTGAAATTTTTTGCCACGCCTTTATGCAAGTTTGTAAATTATATAAATGATGGTTATGAATATTCTTCACAATAAAATCCTCTGATGAGTGAGTAATCATGAAACAGGCTTGAAAGGATGAAAGTATAGTCTCTGTTTTTTCCCCTATCTCATACATATCGCACTCTACTTCTACATATCAAGCACTGTACGACAGAAAAATCAAAACACAGACTTCCTTTATGTATATCTATGCATAATTTTAAATGAGGCACATGTATTGATAGGGAGCTCATGAGATACATTTGTAGCAAGCTACAATCAACCTGACAACTAACTTGCCAAGGCTTTTCTCCTGTGGTAGCAATTGTCCTCTGAGATGACCAGTAAAAAGTCCCAAACCATTCTAGAAAGAAAAGAAAGGCAAACTAGAGAAACATCCCCTGTGAGTAAAGTTGTTGATGCAGACACTTTAATTAATGATATGCCTTTGACAACCCACTCCACTAACAA